GTGGGACGTTCAACTAGTTTCCTCTCATACAAATGGCTCTCTACATGCGCAGGTCTCGTCTCTTCTTTGATACGCGGTTTCTCCAAAGGTGGGCTTATCGTGTTGAAGTTCATATCTTTCTCCGGTGGAGTATAAAACCGTGAGATGTGTTTTCCGTAGAACGGGAATTTTCCATGATGCCAATAGTCGTTGATTTCGACGTAGGTTGGAGAGCGTTTGTCTTGGTAGAGAATATCATCAGGTGAGTGGTGAGCACGTGGTTCGAACGTCTGGACATGTTGAAAGTGATCTGAATCATCTAATCTGTTTTTCTGTTCGTACAATGATCTCGCGTGGAAATGTTGCTCTGTTTTCAGGTTACTCTTCACCAAGAACGATCGTGGCATTTTGTCCAATCAACCAACAAATAAAATTCAAAAATTCTTTTCCACAAAAATCAACCTTGCGTTTCTCTCTCAAACCACCATATCAAAAGAAAAATGAAGGTTGGGGGGGGGGGGCGTACAGTGACAAAACTAAAGGTGACTGCAGCCGCAAATAGGGGATTATAATAGGCAAAGCGCGTCAATCTGGTGGGTGGTGGGAGGATAGGGGAAATCATGTGCTTTTTTACCCAACCCTCCCCATGGCGCCAGCGCACCAGGCTTGCAACTTGTCGTTGCGTTGGTTCTTTTCTCGTCGTACCTTTTTTTGTTGAAGTACATGTTTCAGGGGCGCGTAGGTCCGTCCGTCACGCAGTTTTGACATTCACGGATGGCAGTCGATCTGGGGTAGGTGGCGCAGACTCAATTGAACCCCCATGTTTCGGGGTTGCCAAAGTTGTTTGCACTTTTATTCGGTTCTGTAGTGCATTTACATGTCGTATGACAATGAAAATGAACGATGACCAATCAATGGAAATCAGTCCGAGATCAGAAGGAATCGAGGTTCGTTCGTGCGACAGGTGTCCTGCAGGAGGCTCTCGACTTTTCCGCAACCGCAAGATTGTTGTGTCCGAAATGAACTGGTTACATGCGCGGGAACATACGAGCCAATCAATCGAGCCGGCTTGGACCTGACGGATCACATAGATAGATAGTACGAGGTGTTGACCTTTGTAAGGCTCACATCCCACCACACACGGCCCACGAAAACTCGATGGATGTCCCTGACTGATGAGACTGCTGTCGACCTCACTCAACGAGTTCCACTCGCGAGCATGTTTGCGATGCGAGAGAGAAGAGCGCATCGCCACGCTAAACAACAAATTAAATATCCACGTGAGATGGGGGGCTTACACGACCCATAACTCAAGGGGGGCACGCGCATGTGACGCTGGGCTGTTTTTTTTTATTTTGTCGCACGGACGGGCGGTGCAAACATAATTCCCGCATTTTGCTTCTTTTCGGCGATGATGGTGTTGCTGTTGAGCTGCTGGGTGCACAGAGAGTATTCCGCCAACAAGGTGAACCGTCCGCGAATGGACTGCAACAGCAATCAATCAAGATGCGTACAAACGAAAAATCGAACGTTCGAAACGCAGTAACCAAGACCAAATTACCCGCAGTGTACGTGAGAAAGGAACTCACGAACAACCCCAAAGCAAGCTTGTGCAGCGTTGTGTAGGGGGTAGGCATGCGGGGAAAATATGGAGTCGAACCAACGACAGGCAGCAGCACCTTGAGGATACATACTGTATACGTCCACAGGTCGTTCAGATACCATTTCCACGGCCCTCGCCCTCTCTCTGCCCGCTATCAACAACTAGGTGTCGTTTCAACATTTTATTCATCAAAAAGGCACGCTCTGAAAGCAAGTCTGAAAAGATCGCCCCTGGACTTACACTTTGTTGGCGACGACGCTTATCACGCGTCGCTACAGACCCTACGGACCCATAAGCATATAAGCATATAAGCATGCATGCATCTTCAGGCACCACACAAAAACACTCGAATCAGTACCGACGATCTAAACCTACTTCCGTGTGCGCAAAACTTGAAATCCCTCAAAGACAAGACCCCCCTCCCGTCGAGAATAAATATTTTGCATGCATCAGAGCTCGTGGTTGTTGTTTTTCGATACGCCACCAGCCCCACAATGTTTATTTAATCGTCTCGGGCCTTTGTACGAAAAAAAAGTACACTTTACGCGATATGTTCCTCATCACCGCCTACGGCGAGCAACCTCCGCATGTAAAAATCGCTCGCCTTTCAATCCTGCTGTTTTTCACCAAACCGAAACAAACACGTACTGGGTGCCTGCCTCTCTTCATTTTTTGTTCAGGCTAAATATCGTACATACACAAACCAGCTCACATAACGTATTGCCCCCCGTCTATTCTGTCAAAACCAACCAAAACACGAACCGAAATAGCGAAAAACACACAAAATAAAGGAAGATCTCACGTCTACCATGCACGCACAAAGAAACGCAGAAAAAAACGCACGCGAAAACACACGCACACATGCACGCACCCACGCAGAGGCGGCGGCGAGAAAGAACACCCTCGGCTTAACCCTCCTCCGGCCCTACCCACACTTGACCTGTTGCCACGATTGGGTCCGCCCTCCTTCCACCATCTCAAAAGCAGACTCGGCATCATTGGCATACACGCACTCGCGCGCGAGAGGCCGTAGGCACAGCAACCAAGACCACCAGCCAAAGCCAACCCTGCCACCAGCAACAAGGGCAACAACAAACCCAGCTCAAAAAAGGACAACCAACAACGACACAAAGGTACAAAAGAAACCAACATCGCGCGCGCTGTTAGTAACCCAACAATCAAGGACATGATGCCAAACCCGCAAAGAACCGAAACGCAAGGCATCGATCAGTAACAAAGACGTGTTCATTAATTCGCAGTTTAACTTGTAATCGGTCGACAAATTGTGACGCGGGCTCCTGCTATCTCTCCCCCCAGCAGCCGGCCACCTACACCTCCCCGTCGTGACGCCCCGGACACGAAACAAACTAGACAGCAGCATGATCGCATTTTCGTATGGACTATTAAAAACGAGAAAAAGAACACCCCTTCACAAGCACCTTCCCAAGCAAAAAGAGTACCTACCTCCGGCCCGTCTTTCCCTTCCCTGTCGTAAGGGACCGGCGAACGCGAGTTCCAACAAAAAACAAAACAAAAAAACGCCATACATCGAAAACCGGGGCATCGCGTGTCTTCGTTCTCAACACAGCAGTCCTAGAGAAATCATCTAGTCCCAAGTCATGGCGAATGCAGCCGAGACGGAGTGCTTTCTATATGCCACGCATGATAGAAATAGGTCATCAGTCATGCCTGTCTAGACTCTCTTTGTCTTTTTTCGTTGTTCGAAGAACTTCTTCATGGTCCGAAGAGCACAACGGTGCTTCTTCACGCTGGACGCGCTCCCACGCGCGACCGACACATCGCCTCAACTTTTCCACTCGTGAGGAGCCGTAATATGCTACACGGGAGGCTCATCGTGTCACAAGTGTTTAGGGAGGGAGGGAGGGAGGGGCGCCATATTTGTACCACACACAGGACAGCCAAGTAACAAGCTCTCCCAATTGGGTTGAACGTCGAGGCGTCGGCGTACACCGACCAACCGACCGACCGACCGACCTCCGTCGCCGCAGCGGCAAAACCACAGCAAAACCGTTTCACGCTCGCCGCTGCCATATCCCCCGCTAACGACGTAAGCGATCGAGACCTTCCCCAGCTCGCCCGCGGCTACCGGACCTGGACAAGAAACCCGAGCAGCAACACGCGCGTGGGTACGTAACAACAAGCAATTTTAGGTGGGAGGGAGCAAAATAACGGATCGAGCGATCGCATGCTTGCTTCCGGCCTTTTCCCTCTGCGCGCCAACAAAACCAAGGGCGGCTATCTACCTATTCTATTATTTTCTGTTCTATTCTAGGACACACCCAAAGGAGGAACGTAGGGCGCGGAGAAACAAACGAAACCTCTAACCTTCACGATTAGGACCAGGTAGGTATTTAGCTGGCTGGCACCCACAGATGAAGAAAAAATTCAGGCTTACGAAAAAGGAGCTCCAGTATCCAGCCGGCTTTTTCTCCCACTCACTGCTGTCGTACTGAATTCAGCACATCCCCCTTCGGCTGCGGTGGCTATGCACATACCTCGAACGGGCATCTACAATAATATTTGGAGTCTTTCTGCGATTGCACATGTTCTAAGAGAAACCAAAACCAATTGCCCCACCTCACCTTGGTCTCCCCCCGTAGCCGGTGGAAAACACGCCCCCCGCGCCGCCCGCGCCACCCCCGCCCCCTCCCCCGGAAACACCACGCGAGTGGCGACCCGCCTCAGCCGCCGCCGCCGCCGCCGCTGCCGCCGCTGCCGCCGCCGCGTTGCCGTTCCAGGCGCCCATGCCTGCGTGGTGGAGGGCGTGGCCGTTGGCGCCGGTGAGCGCGAAAGCGGCCGCCATGGCTTGCCGCTGCCGCTCGGCCATCTCCTCCCGCTGGTTGATGTTGAGGATGGCTCCCTCTCCGCCGGGGATGCCGTACGTCTGGAGGTAGCAGGTCGCGAGACCGAGGAGCTTGGCGTGGTCCTCCATGATGAGGTGCGCGTACGGGCTCGGAGTTTCCTGCAGAGGGCGCAAAGAAAAAGGCAGAGACCCGATCCACGTTGGTTTCTTCGTCATGAGATAAGGTCACGGTATGAGGGCTCATGACAACAAGCGAAGGGGAGATTACCCCGTGTTCTGCTATTCGTGGAACGTTCCCGGTTTGGCGTTACCGTCCGCCATAAACCGGTGTCGGGTGTTGTTGCCAACAAGAGGCTTGCGCAAGGCAACCAACTTGTGGCGCGCCGTGAGGTATCGCGGAGAGTGGAAAACGTGCGGTGTTGTTGTTCACGTCGTTCGCCACCACACCAAATGGTGGTACGGATATAACACCAAGCACCGTTTTCTCAATAACCATGACCGAGAAAAAACGCGGGCACAGAGCAACCGGCAGTAGCGAGGAGGCAGCAGCAGCAGCAGCAGCAGCAGCAGCATGACCACCAACTACAGCAGCCCTAACCTGCATCGGGTTCCCAGTGCTGCCCCCGTCCATCCCGCCGACCCCGCGGGCGGCGTTAATCGCCCGGGCAAGGTCCAACCCGTTGTTGCCGCCGTTAACGTTGCCGCCGCCGCCCCCGCCGTTGCTGGCACCGCTGTTGTTGCTGTTGAAGTTACCGCCGCCGGCGGTGGCGCCGACGGCCAGGCTCTCGCCATCGCGGGTCTCGATCGAGCGGGAGCGGGAGTAGTTGAGGTACACCCGCTTCTGCCCGATCTTCGGCTCGGCGTCTTCCTCGTAATGCCGCATCGTGGCCTTCGCGACGCTCACGCTTGGCAGCTGGACAAGCGCCTGCACACAAAACGCATACATAGCGTAGCGAGGGCGGGGGCGCGCGCGGGGGGTGGGGGGTGGGGGGGGGCGTGGAGACAGTGGGACCGCTGTTAAAGCGGTCAATGAACTCGGGTTTGGTAACCCCGACGCCCACTAAATACAGCAGGGCCTCGCGAAGACCCACGGTCCCGGCGCGCCCAACCGGCGCCTATATATAAAACATGTAGCGTCATGGGCGGGGATATTCGCGATTGAGCCTATGTACTTCACCTTAGTACACTATCTCACTTGTGCAATTTTGGGGGCAGACAGAGACGATATCGGATCCGCCTCAACATGGGGGGTTGGGCTGCAAAGTAAGAGCAAGATCTTGCGTCAGTCGTTTGGTGCAAAAAAGCAAAATCTTAATCTTGGTACCCGGCACTGGATCTAGAAAAAAAGAGCCATATGCACACGTACACACACCCATGTTGGATAACACCCGGAGGTTAGGGTTCGTTGGGTGCGACTTGCATTCCGTGAGATCATGACAACCAAACCCGGTTTAACGAAAGCGTACGTACCCACTCCGCAGGGAACGACCATGGCATGGATCCGCTTCATGGGCGGTGGTGGTATTGGTAGCCAGAACCTCCTTTTTAAGTGGGGAAAAAAAGCGATATGCGAATCGTCGAACTCATTACTCACCTGGCCACTAAACATCTTTAACTTTTCCACCTGGCCGAAGCAGCTCAGCAGCGCTACGAGGTCCCCCTGTATCGAAACGGTGTTCAAGCAGCAGCAGCAGCAGCAGCGTCAGGGATAAATAAAAAAAAGTGGTCTCGAGTCTCGAGGGCACCTGCGGGCGTGTCCGCCGTGCGGGAATGGCATGCGCATGCACGTGTGCTGGAAGGAAATTATCATCACGCGGAAAAAATGACAAAACAACCCCAGGAAACACGGAGCCAAGCCCCCTCCAGCGGAGTAGACGGCAGCAGCGGCAGCAGCAGCAGCAGCTGCGGGAAATAAAACAAAAATACACGCCATGTGATTGCCGACCAGCAAGCAAGGTCCTCATCAAGAAGAACAGCCACACACGAAAACGGGAACACGTCGAGAGCACCACAAACACCTTCCCCTCCCTTCAACACGTACATGTTCCCCACACACCAATGAAAATAATTCTTCCAACAGCAACAGAATCACACACGCACATACTTCGAATCGAAGTACACAGGCAACTCCTGTGGGAATCATCTTGGAACGGGCAATCTTTCCTCCTGCACCTTCACGGAAATTATGCTTGCCGAGAATCGCAACCATGCCGACCCCCTTCTACGCGCGTCTTGCATCCATACGCAATTCATCCCGGATCCTACCTCCGCGCGTGGTGTCTACAGCAGCCAACATGGTTACCGTGTGCCACGTGTCTCAAAATACAAGCAAGAGTCGCGCCAGGCAAACAAATTCAATCGATTCCAAGGGGGGCGGACCCTCCAAGGCAACGACAAAAGATTCAACTGAAAGAATGTCGAGACAAGAAGAAGAGCGACATATTCCATCCCGGTCTCGACCGGCTGCCCGTTCCTTGTGCTATCTTGTTTACGTATTGCACGCGGCTTACACGCGGTAGATGCCGGCACGATTTCGCGCACGGAAAAAAAGAGTCCTATAATTGGGTCCTATGGACATGTTGTGCATATGTGCGATATGCAACCATCAACAATTCTCGAGAACACTGATTAAAATGTGCGTGCCACGACTTCCCAACAACGAACACCTTCTACAATTGTAGCTCGTGTGCATCAGGAGTCCTTCATGGAGGCGGTGTTCAACCCCCGCCCCCGCCCCCGCCCGCCTTTGTCCCTTTCTGATCACGTGCCACATTTCGCAGAGGACAGACAGACACCACACAAGCTTCACATTCGCGTTTGTTTGTGGTTCGTGGCGTGAGGTGTGTGGGTGCACCCAACATCAAAGAAAGAGAACTTGATGCCGCCCGCAGTCCGTTTCCTGGATATGTTGCATGTGTCCAGCGAGAAAATAAACACCCAGAGTAGACTTCGCTCGCTCCCACCTATTGCACTTTCCAAAAAGTCCGCACTGCGCGATACCTAATAAATGCATACCATCATCCATGAGGACGAACCTATCGAAGTTCGCCACCCACAAAGCATGCGGTCATCCTACGCGGGCATCTTACCGACGACCGCCGTCATCGCCCAACGGAAAAGAGAAGGCCACCGGACAGATAAAACGCATCCGGCATTTTGTAGACGGGCATCTATCTGCTGGCTGTATCGAATGCACCAACAAAATTATGTGAAGAAAAAAACACTTCATAATTTCTCACGCTGACTTACTTGTCTGGAGGAAAAAGTGCGAAGGTCAAAGTTATTCCGCTCTTCCTCGACACAAGAGTTCTACATATAAATTATGTATGCACACACGAGAAGCGGCAGCCAGCGCACCGAACACCCGTACGCGCTGCAAGCAGAAAAAAGTATAGCTGCTGCACACACAGAAAAAGACAACAAAACAATCGCCGGTTTGCACACACACCATGGGTCGGCTTGGGCGTGCCAAAGCGCTACGTAGCTCTCCCATCTCTTCTCTCTCGCGCGCACCTGTACAACCGGGTAGCCGACATTTCGTACATGGAGCACCTTCGAAGGCTCCGGGGTTTGTCTCGGCGAACCATCCCCTCCTCCTCCTCCACCTCCTCCTCGACGTCTCGGTGACGCTCCTCCTCCTCCCCCCCCCGCCCGGTCCCACCTCGGGGACTGGCTGCTCACGCTGCTGCCGCCGCTGTGCTGCCTCCCCTCGTCCCGGTAGCGGCTCCGTCTCGAAGACCGCCCGCTCGCTCCTCCTCCCCCTCCTCCTCCTCCTCCTCCTCCTCCCGCCCGGCGCTGCCTGGTTGATCTCCCGCTGCTGCTGTCGTCGCTGCTGCTGCGGTCGCGGCTGCGGCGGCTGCCCGCGCGGCTCTCGCTGCTCGAAGCCGCCCTGGCGCTCCCGCCCTCGTAGACGCCCTCCTCGGAGGCGGACTCGTTGCTGCCGGCCGCGGCGGAGGTCACGCTCTCCGCCCCTCCAACTCCTACGCCCATCGCGCCGCCGCCGCCGCCGCCGCCGCCGCTGACTGGTGCCGGAGTTTCAGACGAGTCCATCATCGGGGAACCAGGCGAGGAGGGCGATCCGCCTCCAGCGCTGCCGGCGGAATTGATGGCGAGCATGTCGATCGCCCGGAGCACCCCGGGGGGGGAAGGTGTGGGCGCGAACTCGAAGGCTGGGGCAACTGCTGCGGAAGCTTCGTCCGTGGTGATTGTGGAGCCAGCCGCGTCGCCGACGTCCATAACGTTCTGCCCTAAAGAGCTAGCTCCTCCAGCGCTTTCCACTGCTGTGCTTTGCTTGCTGAAGAAGGATTCGCAACAAAGATCATGGGTGGTACGCCAGAAGTGGAGAAAGAGAGAGAGGTGGGGTGGCGGCGGCGGCGGGAGAAAGGGGGTGCGGGGATCGACGTCGTTGACGGGTAGCGGCGACGAAGGGCTGTGGTAGAGACTCCCTTACTCCTGAGTGAGAAACAACGGGGATTCTTTGATGCGAAGAAGGCGACACCACACAGTCATGTTTTTTTTTCGAGACCTGACCGCTGACCGATCGACCGCCTCGCACACAACAAGTTGTGTCCAGTTTTTGCCCTAAACCGATCGATCGCGCGAGACAAAAGGGGGCGCACCGCGGCGGTGAAATGGGTCGAACCTTCCGCGTCTCTTCCTCGGCTGTGTGCTCGCGTCGCGTTGAAGACGTTCTTGCCACAGTACAGGTGCTCAGGCGAAAGCTTTGGGCAAAACGATGTGTGTTTCCGAGAGAGTCAGAAGTGCACTGGGGCGGGGGGGCTTTGGGTTGGAATATATCAGAAAATGGCAGAGTACCCAAAATGGCAGAGTACCCACTATTTGAATACTCATAGCCGCGGACCCCCCGTAGCAGCGTCCGCGCGAGACGCCCGCCCCGACGGACCCGGAGCGCAGTGCTACCTCACCTGTCTCAGCTGCTCGTCGCCAGAACCTGCTGTGAGGACAAGAGTAATACGCTGACGGGGTTAATTGTAGAGGAAAGTCCACAACAATGGCGGACGAGCTTTCGAAGGAAGAGGAGGCTACGGACTGGTATGTCGTCCTCGGTCTCGATGTGGGCGCCAGGGAGAAGGACGTCAACAAGGCCTTCAAGAAGATGTCTCTGGTGTGGCACCCCGATAAGAACGGGGGCAGCGAGGAGGCGCACGCGAAGTTCATGAAGATCAAGGAGGCCAAGCTTTTCCTGCTCGATGGGAAGAAGAGAGGCCTGTACGACCAGAAGAGGGCCGCTCGCCGTAAAACGGAGGCATTGTTGGTGAGTTCTTGTTTTAGCCAGGAAGGAAGGGTGTTGGTACGCGGTGTCTCTCTCTGCATTGCGTTGCTATAGCCTACTGCTCCAGAGGGGACGAATACAACAACACCACCATGCTATGGTCGTGACATCGGAACCACCGAGGATATTTATTTTCTCAACAACTGCGTCTCAATCTTGACCTAGACTACTGCAGTAGAGCAGAGTGTGGGTGGTACTGCTGTAGGGCTACGTAGATTACATAAAGATGACGGGCGCCGTCGATGTCTCTGCGCTACAACCATAGTACCAAGTAGCCGTTGGAAAACAATCTATTTCTCGTTGGGCTCTCTCTTCGAAGTTATCAATGGGCGACGAGCAGCCGGTGACTCCGTTGAATCCGCGCGCTACTACAATGAACGGGGGGTGACGCTCTGTGTGCACTTCTTCGAGCAGTAGTAACTGACCAACCACGCGTACATACATTACTGTAGCTGGTTTCTTCTAGAAAATCCGGTAACATGCTCGCATTCCGGCAACCACTTCGCCCTGTCTCTTTGCGGAGTATTCGAAAAGCTAGCCAGCAGAGTTGATGAGGTTGGTGTCAACCTTGCTTGTCCTCCGCAGTGCGCAGGCAGTGTACGAGTCCATGATCTTCTATGATGCAGACCCTCATCTCGGTACGCAAGTGTTGATTCTTCTCGCCCCAAACTAATACCCCGTCTCTTCGGCCATGGCTGGCTCATCGAATCCCCCACCCCCACCAGGCGGAACGAAATCGCACCATGGGGAAAAGGCAGCGGGAGCTCCGCGTGGAGCTAGAGAGACGAGAAAAGGAGGCCGCCAGCGGGTCTTCATTTTCGTCGCCGTCGAGCCGTGCCGGAGGTTTGGGAGCGGGAGGGGAGGCGAGGGTGGCCGCCGCAAGGCTCGACGAGCTCAGGAAGAAGGGCGAGGCGGAGCGCCAGAGGCAGAGCGCGGATTGGAGCGTCAAGAGCGCGAACATCAAGAGCGCCAGCGCCAGGAAGCGCAGCGCGCCCTCCTCGGGCCTTTCCGGCGCGAACGGCAGCGGCGGAGACGGCGATGACGATGGCCTAGAGGAGCGGACCTTGCGGGTGAAGTGGAAGACTAAGAAGGAGTCCCACTCGGACTACACCCTGGACGTGCTCTTCAGCAAGTTCGGCGTGGTGCAGTCGGTGTCGATCGAGGAGGGTAAGGGGGACAGGGCGATGGTCGTGTTCGCGTCCGCCGTGTCTGCCGACGCCGCCATGGCCGCTTACGGCAGTCGAGAAGGCGGCAGCGAGACCATGCGGACGAGCTACGTCGGCAAACGGCGGGCGAAGCGGAGCGCCTTCGCCCCTCGCCGTCACACCATGTCCCCGAGGATACCAACAGGCGATGGGCAGGCGGAAGGCTTAAGCTCGTTCCGGGACCACGAGTCTATCACGATGATGAACCTGCGCAAGGAAGCGGAGCGTCAAGCGCTTATCAGGAAGATGGCAGAGGAGGAAGGTCTGACTGTGGGCGATGGACAGAAGGATGCTGCTGTGGGAAACGGGGCTGCAACGTCTACAAGGGAAGTGGCGAGCGGGGGAGAGGGGGAACATCAGAGTGAAGTTTCGCCTAGTGACAGCGGCGTGGGTAGTAAAACGGTTGGGAACGTAGCTACTCCAAAGGCAAGCCAGAGGGGCGAAGCACATGTGGTCGGCTCAGCTGCAGACGAAGCAAGTCCTGGGATTGGTGGGGTTGGAGCGAGCGGAAGTGAAGCCGCAGGGGGTAGTGTTAGGGCAGGAAACAGGCAAGCTTTTCCTGTCCCGCCCTCGATGTCGGCCAGTAAGATGCCTGGCACAAGCGATTTCAAGGCGAGAAGAAAAAGTGACGCCCTCCTGTCAGAAATGGGTGGCGGCAGTGCAGGGGGTGTGAGTCCTTCCCCCGTTCCTGCTGGGATTGGTGCGTTTGGAATCGGGAGTAAAAGTGTGCCCACCACCCCAGTCTCGAGAAGAAGCATGGTGGGGACACCAATAGACGAGAGTGACATTTTGGCGCGGATGATGGCGATGAAGCGTTGATGAACTTCTTGTGTGTGCGCAAAGTGTGCGCAGGTAGGTTTTGTGAGTGTGAGGTACGTTCTTGTCGTGGGTGTGCCGGTCTATTTTTCCCAATTTTGGCGAGCTACGGTAGCTGGCTCTTTCTTCGTATCAGGTTGTTGACTTTGAGGCAGTGATACATGGCTTAGGCGAAGAAATGCACTTACGAGCAAGGGTTGCGGTGTTTCTCCTCGCGAGTTATCTAGCCTTGGGGTAGTTGACCTAAATATTCTGCGTGTTGGCGCTCTTCGTGCAGAGAGGCTCGCGTCTGCTGGCATCTCCTTGCGTTTCGGCTCTCCGACGAAGCGATGAATGGTGTCTGGGTTCTATAGCAAAACGAGAATAAACGTGTAAAAAGAGTCAAAGGGAAGTGAATACAACTTATCACCCCAAGCTAGAGTCGATACGCTGGTCTCACCACCAACAACAGCAGGTAGGGGTCATCTCGGCAACCAACATTTCAAGAGCTTGGTCCGGCCACCCCCATGCAACAAAAGCTGACACCGGGCGGCTGAATTCTCCACATGAAAGAAAACAATCGGTGAGGCCGACGATGCGCGTGGCCTACGTTTCTTCGTTTAAGCATCCCCTTGCGAACAAGTAGTCCGGCTCCTCCTGTCCTCCAAGCAAGTGCGGTTTTTTCGACGTAGAGATGAAGGCTTGGCATCTTTCAGCCCACTCTTTGTCCCGTGGAGGAAAATGTTACGGAAGTAAGTATCGAAATTAAGTTTTGAGATCGCCCCCAGCCAATCCGCACTGGTTGAGTTGTCTTGGTTCGTCGTGAGCGTGCCACGCCTACCCTTGGAACTCCCAGGTTCCCGAGTGAGTGGTGGCGCGTACCGTACGTAGTGTTCGATTCTTGGTCTTGAGGGTTTGCGGGGTGTGTAGCATTTTGACGCGCACCTGGGTGTCTTTGATCGTATGTATGTCGTCGTGCGCCGAGGCGAGAGTCCCACGGGAGCGAACATGGCATGATGAACACTCAAATCCGTCCGGTGGAAGCGATAGAGAGGCGATTTGAGGGGGTAAACAAGAGTAAAGTGGAATGGGAACCTGTTCTTGCCTCGATCTTGATCCTTCTACGCAAGTCGGCGGTCCTCAATTACGGTACCCTCCATAGCGGAATGCCCTCTATAGTCGCACCGAAAGGTGTCAAGTGTAGGGAAATGGCTTAAGCCAGTGCAAACCCGAAGGTGAATACGTTCCGGCCTAGTAAGGGGACATGAGTTTCTTGTCTCAGTCAGTGATGTCCGATTTTTTTCTGTTCCTGGTTCGCTTGGCCTCACGTGAATAGATACCTCAAGCGACTGATGCTGACCTTCATTCGGTGTTTGATTGCTCAAGAGACCTCTAACCAAATTTCTGCCGATGGGATCATAAATTGCTGCCGTCACACAACATGTGTTCGATCGAACACCCGTCTCGAGTCAATCAAAAACCATTTCACGATGATATTGCCGGAAACGGGATGAAAGAGGAAGCCCAGATGCTTCAAATGATGATGAAAAAAAATGGGCACCCCCCGAACGGCCACAAGACCAAAGAAATGACAAACGAATATACGTCCACCGACGAACGGCATTCACCAGAAGTGATAAGGCCTGCCGTCGTAAACACAAGGACCACAGGGCTTTGAAACACGAGCAAGTTCTTGGTCGGCCTATGACACGCTTGTATAGTCGTAGTCGTGTGCTTGCTGTTCATTCACTCAAGTTTACTGCCATTCATTCACATAGACCCCGCCAACATTGCGTGCGCTTGTTCTCGACGCTGAGCGGGACGTGCGCAGGGAATAGCCTGACATCAAACAAGTCATAGTTCTGGTCTTGTGACGGTAAAAGGGTGGTATTACTGGACAGCTGCTGCCGCTGAATACTTCGAAGTATTACGTTTTCTCCGCGACGATAATCACATAGACAGGCTCCGTAGATCCGGGGGAGGATAGAAATATGCCGGCTCCGAGATGGCGGACATGACGAAACAGGCGGGCGTCCATCTTGTCTTCTCGCCTCGATCGCCAACATCGCACAAGAAAAGGCTGCGATGCCGAAAGCCGTGGACAGATCGCCAGAACGCAAGCTGGAGACGTGGCGATCGCAAGCTGCTCCTCAGAACTCGCCGCAGAGCAAACGGCGGCTCGGTGGCGCGCCCTTGACCCACCACACTACCTTACCGTCCGCAGCTGGAAAACAACGGAGAGGAAGCAAAACAGGCGAAAGGGGCAGGCGACGTCCGCGCCACTGTCGCCGCCGAGCCCACGCGCGTGCCAAAGCCAACGCCAAGCTTAGGCTGGTTCCAAAGCCCCTTTTACGGCGGCCTCTTCCTCTGACCAGCCGCTTTCTTTGCCCGCACATGCGCTCGCGCCAGACAAATGGCTCGAAAGCAAGCAGGCCTGGCGTAGCGCGTGAGCTTCAAATACAACACAGCAAGGGCACAAAAAGGTCCACAGGGCACTCAAGGGCACACAATGTGCACGTGTACCAGGAAGGCAAAATTGTACGGCAATGCTTCGCGATGGCGTCGGGGGGGTACAAAAGTAGCGCGCACAAAAAAGCATGGGTGACTTCGACAAGGAACCTCATTTCTCTGCTCGCGCTGACTGAAAACATCTTCAGCAAAAAATGCCAAAGAGCTTTGGGAGTCTTCCTCGGCCTAGAGGCGAACTATGACTGGTTAGTCCAATATTTGCCCCAACAAAAAAACCAAGCCAAAACGTGTAAGCACATGGAAATTAGTGTCACAATGAACAAAGCTTCGTTGAAAAAAACAGGCTCGTTCCTAGGCATGAAGTTCAATTTTTTTCGACACGCTCAAATCAATTTTAACTATCATCAAACAAAAAAAAAAACGCGGCTTGCCGTGGTTTTGAGAGAGCGCTTCTTGCCGAACGCCCTTCCCGTCCAATCGTCCAAATCTCGCACGGTATGCCCGTTTTCTCCCTCCCTCCCTCCACATTGATGAGCATCCATCCCTCTACGCAAAAGCTTGGCATCCCGTTGTGCGCTCAGCTAGAACTCCAAAGCGCATATCTGCATCCCGTGGCATTTCATCGCCGCTCCTCCCTCCCTCCCTCCCTCTCTCTCCCTCACCCGCGCACTCCGGCGATTTGGCGTGCAGACCTGTTGGACGTTAGAATGGGCCAACAATTCGACATTTCATCCTGCTCATTGATGTCCGGCCGGCCTCGCTCAACCGCCCGTGCTCAAGAGAATCCCGCCTCCCCCCCCCCGGTCCCTACAACCCCCCCCCCCCCCCCCCCCCCCCCCCCCC